GATTCAGGAGACAAATTAATCCTCTGAGCCCACTGAAGGCATCATTGCGTCTCATCCTTCAATTTAACCTAAAATATGCCAATTAACAAAACATAGGTCATAAAATATTTGTATCATAAAAGTGAAATACTGCTTTAAATCCAAGCAGACTGTATATTGTTATTAAAACAAGTATTGAGTACTAACAATTTTTACTTTTATATGTAATTGCAGCTGAAGTGATTTTACTTCATAATGAGGCTTAGTACTAACGTTTAATACATACACGACTGATTTGACTACATCTGTCCTTGTTATTTGACATTGACACAAAGCTGGCTGGCCAAACCAGGTCAGATCACTGCTACTGCATTGCAGGTGAATCTCACACCCAACACACTCACACACACACAACACACATACATGATATACACACACACAAGCGCAACTACTCTGTATCACGATAAATTACAAGGCCATACAGCAACCTCTGGCAACCCCTGTCCAGAGATCACTGCCAATAAACAAGCTCTGTGATTGGCTGGAGGCCTTGCCCAACAGACCTGTCCTACATTTCGTGTTGACATGTGTTGGATTGGCATTAACCGCTTTGTGTCTGCAAGGAGGTTAGGGGTGGGGTGGTGGGTTGGAAGACGTTACACACAGAGGAGAGGCCTGGCTGTGTGTATTGGTATGTAACATTATATGCGTTTTTTTTACCTCATTGTATCTAACCCTTACTTACTCTCACACACACATCTAGGCCACGACAATGATTATTTATAAATGCTTGCGTTTAATATCATAACTGAACGGGACTGACTTTTGAGTCAGTGAATCATCATGGCTTCAAGTATTTAGACTACGATGAACAAGAAATCTTTAGTCTTTTCTTGTTGTAGCTGATTATTGATAGTTCACTGTGCATTACACTGTGTGTGTGTGTGTCTGTGTCAGGGAGACCGAGAGGGAGAGTCAGATGAGAGTCCCGTGCTAAAGGCATGTAGGCGTACAGGCGCATGGCCCTCAGCTGCCAAGTGCCTGGGGTGCCTTCTCTCGCATGACCCCTCCCTCCCCTCGGCTACCATCTCCATCTGTCAGTCCTAAACAAACGCTCCTCTTTAAGTTGCTGCAACCAGGGCTCATCGACCTTACCTGCTGCCTGAGAGATATTACAACAACAAAATGACCTGAACCAAATCCCACTTCTAAAGTAAAGCAGCAAGTCATCACGACTGCCATAAAACCAGGCTGTAGCAGCCCATGTCAGATAGGTCATGGAGCTATAAATAGGACCTGGAGTAGAAGTAGTATGCAGCGGCTCTGCCGCCTCCAACATTGCTCTGCTGTTTCAAAGAACATGGCTCATCCATTAGTAAAGAGTGCAGTAAAGAGCGCAGAACAAGCCTTGCGCACCACCCAGTCAGGTCAGATCAGTCCTCCTATCAAATGGGAGATTATACTGTGCCTTAGAAATATGGTGGAAAGCTGCATAAAGCAGCTGCAATCCCTGATAAAGCAGCTAGAGTGAAATGTATAGGTCCAATGATAGTACAACCTATGGTTCAATTATTTATTCTGAGTGTGTGTGTGTGTGTGTGTGTGTACGCGCTTTAGGTCTCATCAAGCCAATTGTTGGGATTAACTGTTGGCCCCCTGCTAATAGCATCAGGATAATCTAGGATGGGTTTGAGCTCATTAAATGCTGCTCGCTTGCAATGAAATATAATCAAAATATCACAAGAGTGACATAACTGCTGCTGAGGATGATGGGACAGCCTTTTGATATAAAGTACAATTCTGATAGAAGATATCAGTTCTGTTTTCACTATTTGTGTGCAGACATTACACACTACATTTCTACACTATGAAAATATTACACGAGTCGTACAAAAATAAAAACTAAACATGCATAACATTCACTGAAAAGGATTTAACTAATTGGTGAATTTGGGAGATCAGAACAATTTCAACCTGCAATAACTGTCTTATTGGCCCCTTGGTGGCAGCAGAAAACAGGCTGTGAACACAACACTGACATATAAAAACTAAATCACAAGACAGTTCAATCACTGATTAAAATCTGTGAGATGGAAAATAAATCATGATACCAATCATGATACGAAGGCGCAAAGACTTCAGTTTCACTTTTACAAAGAAAAGGAAATATGCATTGTTTTGCAGTTTTTTTCTACCTTAAAAATCAAAAAGGATTCTATAATTTGATGAAGAAAATATAAGGCAAATATATTTTGTACATTTATTATGAAAGAAAATCGTTAGAAACTCGTATTATGAACCCAGTATTATGAATTGTGTTGAATCGTATTGTTACATCCATATTGACATATGACCTATGGCAAACCTTATTTTGTAACATTATCATTCATTTGGAGTCATGCTTCTAGCAACGTGCCAACATAAGCCCAATTCACTCTCTTTTGTTTGTAGTGTCTACCCACTCTCTACCAACAGGAAAATATTTGTCTCTTTAGCTGATAAGCTCCACTATGTTCACCCAGCTAGTGGCTGTTTGGTGCTGAGCATGTAATGTACAGTCGGTTTTTAGAGGTTTTTCACCTAAAAGAGCTGACTACTGTGACTGCAAATGACGCTTGTAGTGCGAATGAACCAAGACAGTAAAGTTTTGGGTTGGACAACTGAACTCACTTACTCCATAACAAGCTCCATAAAGCCAAGGGGAGCTGCAGATTTGGTAGATAATTCTACAATTATTATACAATTACTACAAGCAACCCCTCTCTAACTGTAACATTGTTTTTACGTTGTCATTTCAGACGTTGTTATTAAAACAATTATAGCTGCTTCAAAGTTAAGAATAGCATTTTGTGAAGGGAAGGTAGCCATATTTATTTTTGTCTAATGTCTGCTGTAGCTAAAAACTGTATGTTGAAACACAGTCCCAAAAGTGCATTACAACTTCATCTGATTTATTTTATTAACACTACACTGAACGAGAGGAGCACACCCTTTGGATAATTATTTCAAAAGAAAGCATCATAAAATCATGCAGTCCTAATGTATACCAACACTTTCTACATTCTAGGTTGATGCCCTTTGCTAATGCCTGTTAAAATGCCTGTTCCACCACACTCAACATTTTCACACACAAGCAGTGGGCCTATTTGTGTGTGTGTGTGTGTCGGGTGTGTGTGTGTGTGTGTGTGTGTGTGTGAAGGCAGGGTAACAGTCTACTGTCAGTGTGGTGCCACCTGGCAGGGCCTAGGCAGTGGGGCTCCAGTTACGAAGCTGGAGGGGCAGCAGGAGATTTACACTGGGCAAGTGGTGGTGTGAAGAGCCACAGCGACCACTGTGCTGCCGAATTGGTCTTCATGGCCATGGCATTTAGCCTTGGCTTTGGCTTAAACCGTTACTGGCTGCACAGTATGTGATACTGATTAAGGTGCTTAAAAGATCTTTTTTTTATTTGGTAAAACATTAGTAAAACATTACTGCAGTTACATTATTACATAATAAACCTAATTTAAAATGAGTGTGGAAGGAGCTTAACTTCCTATCAGCAAATTTACAAGCCATTACCGTAACATTAAAGAACTCAAAGCAAAGAGCCTTCGGTGCTTTTACATTATTCCTCTCTTCATTAAGTGATCATTTAATGGCAAAGGAAAAGCAACAATGATGTGAAAAGAAAGTGCAAAAAAACAATGTGAGTGGACTCCAGGTCCTAACCATTGATTAGAGTCATAGACTAGTTTAGCTCTAGTTTATATAATATTAACATCATCCATACCAGACATAACATTAAGTCAAATTATAACGCCACAGCAAACTTTTCTGTGTGGCTCCACAAAACATAATGCAAAACTTCGTCTGTGACACGTGGAGTCACCATTCGCCTCTTTTCACCTGCCAGCCATGAGCTTAACTGGGAGGACATACCAAGCAGAAGTCTTATGCTATCCCCACCAGTTCCACTCTTCACTGTACGGGAACTCCAACCAGTCCAAGTTGTTAGGGTAAAAATACACAATTGAACCGGTGTGGATAGGAAGTGTAGCCCTGTGTCACCCATACATTCCCTGGATACATTGAGAACCCATTTAAATGGGAACCTTGAGTACATGACACACGGGGACAGGAATCAAGAACCGTTTCCTGTTAAGAAACAAATTCTCTCATCCATCGGAATCACATGCCACTGAGCTTATCAATTGTTTTCATCAGTGCCAGGATGTTTTTGAGACAGTTGGGCATTGCAAAACAATGACGTCAAACTCATGAGTCTGCGTTGCTGCAAGCGTGTGACAAGACTCACAGCGGAGAGGAAGATACAGTCCAAAGCGTGGTTTCATTTTACAAAGACACTCAGAGCCCACTATATACACTGTGTATACTTTATACACTGTGTTGACTGATGCTGAAACTTTTTTCTACATTGAAAATTGATCAGGAATCAATAATGAAATCAACGAAGAACTGAACCGATAATCAGAATCAATAATGGTACTGGTTTCAATAAAATCCTGTCAATTCCCATCCCTAATGAAGCCACTGAATCCATCAGTAAGAATGACTGGTATAACTCAGAAACAGTGCCGCGTAGAAGGTGAACCCGGTGTGCAGAAAAGATGTAGCACCCTCACCAGACCCATCAGGGTCTAATACTACAGTGATTGTGTTTGTACTTTACTGCCACAAGCTTCTGCAACTCTTCCGTTGTCCTTTTCTCAAACACCGACCCCAATGTGATAAAATGTCCTACGCAGCACCATCTGAGAGGGTAATTGCTGTTGGATATCGCTTATATAACTGTCTACACTGTAGGTGGGGAGGTGACCACTGGGACAGAGAAACTATGAACAAATTAGTCATTCTTGTATGGTTACACATTGTGCTTTTAGTAAGTGAAATAACAGTGGAATTCAACTCTACTCTTTTTGTTTTGCACTTTACAAACCATTAGGTACACCGCCCATTGGACTCAGCTCCGATACATGTTGTGCTATGACGAAGAAATCCTGAAATATGGATGTGCTTACCTCTTGCAGATAACTTTTTGGTGTTGATTATTTTGGCAGCATACTCCTGTCCTGTACACAGCTTAACACACCTGCGCACCACTGAAAAGGCTCCCCTGTAGAAACACAGAAAAAACATTTACTAAGCTTTGGTGCATTACTATCAGTGGATAACTGCCACCAACATAAAACAGGCTGATATTTGAGGTCCAGTTAATATAATATATCTGTGTTTTAATTGCATTATTCTTAATCGGTTAATGGAAAGGCATCATCAGCACACCTGCATCTTCTTCATGAATGAAAGCTATCGTAATGACCTTGTCTAAAGTTTTGCTGAGAACATTTTCAGCAAAAGTGAATGTTTTTTAAGGCCCAAAACGGAACAGACTTGATGTTACTTGCTCACATGTACGGTAAGTTACATTGCCAGGATTTGTCTGCTTCCTAGGCTCCCGTGAGGATCCCCACACATAAAAAGTCATGATGCACAAACACTGTTGTCTTACAGCCACTTCGTCTAAACTTTGGTATGAGCTCCTAAAGCCGATTTTCACAATATCTGTAAAATATAACCCAACATTTACATAAGATTGTGACTGGAAACACTCAATATCTGGATGTATTTGGCCATAAAACTAAACATCTTGAATATCAGCTGCTTCAACTATGAGTCACTTAATAAAACCCGACAGCAGACAGGACTGGCTTCACAGCCTTCTCCAGCCCTAGCCTTTTTACTCAGATCTGCCACAGTCTTACTGCCACTTTTGACAGTGAAAGGGTTGACTGGTGCCACTGGTCTGCCCCCACACCAAGGCAGTTACAAACAACCAACAAGGTCAGAGTCAAAGGTGAAAGTTGTGGGACCAGCTGACCTGAGACTTAGATGAGCAGACACTGGGGGAAATATCTATGTGGAGACAGAAAACCCAGCAGTACTTCAATACTGTTTCAACAGCTGATTAAATGCCCCCGTCTCAGGGTTGGGACAGTTTAGTTAAAAAAAATCAATGTTGACAAAGTGCTTTTCTTTAGTGAACATGTTCGCTGTGGCACCCAAAAGCAAGAAGCGCTCTTAAACACAGTGTAAGAGAACTGCATGGGCGACAAGAGCCACACACACGCACACACAAACAAACGCATATGTTACTGACACCAAACTCCACAGCTGTGCCTGGAAAGTTCACACTCCGTGAGGTAAGTATCTCTCGTCGAGGCTAAATATGCTTTAACACACATACAGTTAAATAAGGTAACAGGTCATGAATCATTGCTTTTCAAAGTCTGGTTTGACGCAGAGAGAGTGGACATGGAGAGATCTGGATGGACCTCAGATTATTTTTGAAAAACATTGGTGCCTTCTGCAGTGACGGCTTTTGGAACCAGATAACTCTGAGCCTCTGATGGGCTGTTATGGTCTCACAAGGTGCCTGTGATGTAGAAGGGTAACAGGATTTGTAAAAGCTTCAAGTCTTACCGAGACGAAACAGGATGATATCACAAACGTAAAGAAAAAAAAAGAAGTGTTCTTCATGAGCTCTGGCTGCTGTTACAGATTTCTTCTTAGCAGCTGTGTGACAAAAGGACAGGCTTTCGAGTTGCCCTTTGTTTCTCAATGAGTAACTGTGACAGGAAGCTACATTCAAGGCTGCGGGACTGTTCATATTATTGTACCTAGAAATGAAAATGCATGGTTTGCAGGGTGAAGTATAAGAAGATACTGATATTTTCGATTAATTCACTTTATAATATGAAAAAATAAAACATTTTCTAAATAATATATGATTCTGCAGCACACCAAATCCCTGATTCAAACATATTCTCTGGCAAAAGAGATTTTTATTTTTATTTTACTTTTATAAAAATATTGAAACCCTACGGCAGAAACATTTCACACACACACTGCAGTAATTTTAAAGGACCATGACGGTGTTTTAGCACACTTCCACCCAATTACTATACAAAAACTTCCCTGTACTTAACAAGCATGCTGTGGTGTTTGCAGCAAAGTACGACAGACATGATTTGCAATAAATGGGCTAAACATACTAAACATAAAGTGTCACGAGCCCTGCAAAGAAAGCGACGCCAACAGAGAGTGAGCGCACAACAATTAGCTCTCCTCAGATGTTGGATTAATATTACAAAGCTACAGAGAGCGAGACCATGAGGACGCCAAGCCATTCGCACCTGCGCTCTTTCCTCCGAGCTTTCTGTGACTGGTTGAATTATAGGATTGGTCTATGAAAGCTATTTTGCAGTGCAGGGTGTACAGATTAATCTCTCTCTGTCTCACACAGAGAGCTTCAAAGCCAGTGCTTTCAGCTGGAGAGAACTCTGCAGCGGTAAGATTTAACTGAATACAGCGAGGCCTACACATTTGATCAGTTGCATTCCTCACAACGTATTTTTTTAATCAAGAGCCAGGACCCGAGCATTAAGTCTCACTGGGGTTGGGGATATATTGGAGTCAGACAAGCAAAGAGTCCCGTGCTAACAATATTTATTACTTACGGGATGAAAGGAGCATGGCGGGGATGCCATGCTGTAAATTAGTCTAGCCAGAGCCTTTTTTAAAGAGTCTGGTTAAAGGAATACCCCACCAACAGGCTTGAAAGGTAACTCTGAAAGTTTTTACTCTGGCAGCTGAAACCAGTACAATGTGTTCAAATGGTGACCCAGTTTCAAGACAAAAAAACAGCAAATTAGCATCTATTCAGAACCACTCTTTAGTGTTTATACTCAGAAATATAAGCTATTGGCAGAGTACTCTTTCTAGAAATGGTCTATTTATAAAGACACCCACGACTGAGGATTATAGAGTTAAAGTTCCTGTAGGTCAATCAGTATTTCCCTATATTTCTCTAAATGACTTTAGTGTCCAACCTTTACTCTACAGAACCCACAGATAAACAGGACACATACTGAACACTGTTGTTTGTTGTGGTGGCTGGCTGTAATATAAACAGCACTGGGCCAATAAAGCTATCAGTAAATAACGAGAGATATGCATGGTAGTCAAACAACACCAGCGAGATGCGTGACACCCAACAGCAGCAATGTAAACAAGGGACGCCTGGCGAGGAGGGATTTCTCCATTGTTCCCCCCACTCCTCCGCCCTATCCTAGTGATACCATAACTGTAATGCTGAAATATAAAGACCTGACCTTCATCTCCAGTGCTCAGCAGTGAATTTAGTGGCCGTGCTGAGCGTTACGTTCACTTTCCTCTCTTATGATCACACTGCAGTTAGCCCATATGTCGTGTGGGGAGCTCCAACATTAACTTTTAAACGGCACCGCTGAACTCTTTTTGTCCACTTTCTTTCTGACAAAGTGATGCACGTACGATTAATGCAGCTTCATGAGCGAAGATGGATGGGAGTTGTTTCGCCTGGTGCCACTGCACAATGTCTTATCTTGTGTTATCTGCCACCACAATGCTGCAAAAAAGCCTCCCAAGGAAGAGAGAGCTGTCAGTGCTTCACATAACGTGTTAACAAGCTGTAAAACTATTTGTATTTACACAAAATATGGGTTCATCTAGATGGCGTTTATTCAGAATTTTAAATGGATGCCATGTAAAGACAAAACAGGACAAAGGCTAATAAGGTTTTCAACAAAAAAAGATTTTAAAAAATGGCCTGTTAATTTAATTTTAAAACCACAAGAATGTATTTACTTGTACAGATCTTAGTTTTACAGCTTTGCAGATGACATTAATTCATTCTTCAAGAAGATATCTGGTCAAAGCACTCAGAAACCAGCCATACAATACGCACGCACATTCACTGTGTTCACCGCATCTCTATAAAGGTCATGCAACTAAGTGGGAAAAAAATCACGTTTTTCTTTTTATAAACCGCAGTTGGCTTCTTTTCATCTGTGGTTCAAATGGTTGCACCACAAGACACCCCACGTCCCTCTGGAATTCAACGTGAAACATATACACAGCATAACACATCACATCACAGCCAACACTGACAGCGTTGCGTTGCATTTGGTGTCTGATGTCAGGTTTTGGGGAGCTTTAGAAACACTGCGAGAAGAGCAGGCATCTGTGGGTGAGAGACATTGACTTACACTGAGAGAGAGAGAGAGAG